TTCACCATTGAATTGCCTAGAAACTGTTTTTGAATATTAATTAACCTCATATTTCTGGACTCTGTTCTGTTCCGTTGGTCTATATGTCTACATATACGTGGATTTATTTTTTTTTTCCTTTTTGTCTTTTTTCGTGACCGGCAACGGGATTGCAACCCTCGGTGTCATGCCCACACCACGCTCAACCAGTGAGCGGACTGGTCTCTATATGGGATCCGAACCCTTGGCGGGAGCGCCGCCACACTCCCAAGCGCCGCACTCTACTGAGTGCGCCACCGGGCCGGCCCTACGTGGATTTATTTTTGCTGCTGAGTACTCAAAGAATACCTTTGATCTGAGAATACATTGTGTTCTTTGGAAAATTTTAGTTATTGTCTCTTCGGATATTACTTCTCTTTCTTCCCTCCAATGTCTTCTTTTGGAACTCCTTTTGATGCTGGACGCTCTGAAATCAATCCCTGATATCTAACAGCTCTTTGGTATAATTTATCTCTTTGCCTTTCTGTGCTGAATCCTGGGGTACATTCTTTAGTCCCGTCTTCCAATTTAATATTTCTCTCTTCAATAAAATTATTAATTCAAGAGAAATATTAATTTGAAGTGATTAAATTTACATGGGCATAATATGGTTTACACTGTTACTGATTTTCAACTTTTAGATTTAACTTTGGAGCAGAGCAAGAAGGTGATTATAAGCACAGAATGTATATATTTTCAACCTTGCAAGTTAAATCATTTTTACCCTTGAATACTTTTTAGTCCCTTTTAATTCATGCAATTTACAATTCTGTGTTTGCAGATTTGTTTATCTTTCCTCAACTATTCCTGAGGCATCCCTGGGAATTGAGTGCACATTTATGTAGCATTGTGGCATGGTGGTGGGTATGATGACATATTTGAAGCTGCCTTAAACCTTCCAAGGGGCTTCCGTCCTTTGGCCTATCAGGTCCTATATGAGCTAGTCCCTAAAGATCTCTTATCTCTTACTACTCCTTAGTTTGCTTTAGCTGCACAGATATCTTTGTGACCTTTGAACTCATCTCCAGTTCATGGCTGTTGCTCTTTTGACCTGAAATGTTGTTCTTTTGGATCTTAATTGGCTGGTTTCTTCTCTTTGTGTGGATCTGTTCTCAAATGTTTCTTCAGAGAATTTTACCTGACCCTCTTGGCTAAATAAGTCTTTTCTACTCTGCTACCCTCAGTCTGTCACATTACCTTATTTTCTTGAAAGCATTTATTTTGTTTGTCTCTCTCCCTTAGAATGTAAGCTCTATGAGGGCAAGATTTTTATGTCTGGCTCAAATCTATACCCATACCTAAACAAGCAGTCTGACATATCAGAGACACTTAATAAAAAACTATGGGTTGAAGGATTTAATGAGTTGGTATGATGTCACTAGGAAGCATTTTTTGTCATTTGGTGGAAAAGCACCAGGAGGAAAGAAGTCCTGAGAGAACACTTCTATTAATAAGAATACTGTTCTTATTATTCCTGACTTCTTATTCTCACTGAGACTTGGAGACATGGGAACATACTACTTAGGTTGGCCGGAGAGTGTTACTGAGGCCCAGTGTTTCTGGTCCCCAGAGAAAGAAATGCCATGGATCGGTTAAACAGGTCACTTGGAAAATTTCAATAATTTGGGGTCTCTGAAAGATCATTTTTCTTTTTTGTTTTACTGTCTCTTTTTGTCACCTATTCTACTAAAGTCTTTCTTATCTTGTATCCTTAACCTGTGGATACCTGGGTTAACCCAGATGAACTCAGAATTTATTTTAAATTTCATTCTTATGTGGATTTAGGAAAAGGCAATGTAAATTTGTAAGGCACTGTATAAATGTATAAATATTTGTATGTTATTAATAAATTGCATTCATCTTCTTTGAATTTTATTTTTATTGATAACTTCATATTACTTAATTAAATTATAGGCCTTAAGTAAAATTGGGTTTGAGCTTTAATTTTTTAACATGTAAGTTTATCTCAGTCTAAGAATATAGATACATACTGTTAACTTGGGAAAAAATATAGTTTGACTATTTTTAGATTACCATCTCTTGTCCATTCTCTACCACACAAGTATTTAGAAGAAAAATTACAGGTAAATTAGAAGAGGGGGAAAAACAGCTTTTAAAAAAGTAATCTTTCAAAGAATATATGCAAATGATTAATAGAAAGTTTATGAAAATATGATAGGTGTTATGTTAGTGGAATAAATGGCAGTCAAGTTTTTATGTATTAGAGAATTTTATTAATATGTGCTTTATCAGTCAATGTCCTAGTAATAGTTTCAGATTTTAGTAGCATGCCATTATTTTTCATGGCCACAAAAATTACACTGCTTATTATCATTAGTATTTCTGAAGCAAGTTACTTTTTTATCTGTAAAATAAAAGTTTCCCAACCAATATGTTTTCAAGGAAAAAAGGAACCTCATTTGTGTTTTCACCATCATCAACAATATGCTTGTCTTGTTTTTCTAGACAAAGAATGTTAACTCATGGTTTATATTTTTATTTTACTTCTTCAAGACTTTGTGAACCTTTTGAAAAATTAAATTTATTTCATATCCTTCTGTTAGTAAAGGAGCATGGTATTGCTACTTTAGGGTAATTTTTCAGATGATGAGAAAGTTATACGGAATTTCTTATGAAGAGGTGATTTGAGACTAATACCTAACATTTACTGAGCACTTAATACATGCTAGGTAGTGTATTTATTACTTTATGTGCACTATTTTATTTTTTCTTAACCACAACTATGTGTGATTCATACTATTATTGTTTCCATTTTATGTATGAAATTGAAAGGCACTAAGGGCTTAGTAATTTACTCAGTATCACCCATTTAGACTGTAAGTGGCTGAACCCAGGTTTGAACTCAGTTGTGTCTTCTCTAAATCCCATGTTTTGAGCCATGAGAAGTAATATAGTGTCTCTTGAGCTTTTTGAGGTTACATGGTGAATCTCACAGATGCTCTAAACTGAGTAAATGACCTTTTATGAAGAACTCATGCTTAACTGCAGTTTATTGCATTACAGGGATCTCCAAGGGACCATTTAAATTCTTTTGATTGCTTGAGTTTTAGTTATTTTAATGTTTAGAAATATCAGTATTTCTTGAAAATTGTTCCATTTGAGTTGATATGAGGAATGATAAATATGCTCTAAAGCTATTGTCACATAGATATTTAAGTTATATTTGAATTGAACTTAAAGATTGCTATTTGTAAGTATTTGGAAAACAATGTTTAACTTCCAAATTTAAGATGGAAAATTGCAAATTACTATTATATATATTTTTGAAAGACAGTGTGTGATATATGAAAAGACTAGAAAATTAAAAGATGCATTCTAGGTCATACTTTGCCACTTATTTACTCTGTGTATTTTGAGAGTCACTTCACTTCCACTCTTAAGCTTCAATATTTTCATTTGTAAAATAAACCCCTAAAATTCAGGGAAGTGGTATCTGCCCTGTTAACCTAGTGGCACAGGTCTAGTGATCAGCTGATTAATGCCATGTAAAATTACTTTATAAAGTATTGAAATAAAGCATTTGACATCTCTGCCAGGTCATTTAAGCTCAGAAGTAAGATTTGGTGTTGATTTTAGTTGAATGGATGCTTCAGAGGTCTTGGGGTATTAGTTCAGTGGATTTGTTGCATTGAATATTCTCATAGAGATGTACCTATATAAATTAGCATAAATTCCTAAATGTACTATCTTAAATGTAAAATGTAGATGATAATGTTAAGGTGAACATGGTTTTCAGCCACAAAGCTTGTCTGAGTTTAATGGAGAGGTGTTCCCTTCACTCGTGGATCCTGCTGTCAGTATACCTTCCCACTTTACTCACAGACTTGAAGATTCATAACCATTGTATGAACAAACTCTAGTTTTCAGGAAAAGTAAGCATTAACTTCTCTGGTGGGGATTTCTTTATCTGGTTTTATTGCTTTCAGAGGTATCAAAGGAAGCTTATACATGTCTAGTGAACATGTCTGCTGTTCTGTAATTGAGCAGCTCTTGTCAGGAAGTTCCTTTGGAATTCTAAACTGAGGGAAATGTCTTCTTAATGAAGGGCTGATGTATATTTGTTAATATTTTATTCATAATAGTATCCGAATTGTAATGTGCTTAGTAAAGAGCATTTGCAGTTAAAAGAAAAAAACTTGCTTAATGTGAATTTAAATAACCCCTAAGCTAATCTATGTTTCATATTTGTCTCAACCAAAATTACAAAGAGTAAATCCTGTCTGTGGTATTACCTTCTCCTTAAGTCCTCTCCTTCCCTTAGTGTCTCATAACTGTTCTTATTGTCTTAATTCATTATGTTCATTTGTTGGCTTTGTTCACCCAATGAAATTATAAACTCTGTGAGAGGAGTTACCTAATCTGGACATTTTTTACATGACCTTTGAGGCAATAATTCTTATCCTGAGACCTCTAAAGTAATTCACAGAGTAAAGATGTACAATTTCACTAAGGAGGGCATCAGTATTTATGGATTTAAGCTAGACACACTTCTACAGTGTGATAATATAAGTTATTTAATGTTCACCAGGGGCCGGCCCGGTGGCGCACTGCTACAGTGCGCCGCTTGGGAGTGCGACAGCGCTCCCGCTGAGGGTTCGGATCCCACGTACAGACCGTCCACTCACTGGCTGAGCGAGGTGCGGGCGCAACATCGAGGGTTGCGATCCTGTTGCCGGTCCCGGTCCGGTACGGGCGCGACACTGAGGGTTGCGATCCGTTGCCGGTCACGAAAAAAGACAGAAAGGAAAAAAAAAATGTTCACCAGAGCCCTGATAGAATTAGAAAACAAATATTCATTTAATAAATGCCATTTTAAAAAAAACTTTCCGAACATGGGTCTTTCATGGTGAGAGGTTGGGAATTAGTGTTTGGTAGTGTCCAGCCCAATGATGAGTAATAATGATTATTAAAATATGATTGATTTATTGATAGAAAGTAATTAATGAACTCTTTTGTTTTAGGGAATGTTGTGGGCAACTTGGGACATTCCTTTTTTAGTCAAAGTTTCCTCGGCAGTAAAGAACATGGTGGATTCCTATATGTGACATCTACCTACCAGTCACTGCAAGACCTAGTACTCCCAACCCCTCCTTATTTGTTTGGGATTCTCATCCAGAAATGGGAAACTCCTTGGGCTAAAGTGTTTCCCATCCGACTGATGTTGAGACTTGGAGCTGAATATCGACGTAAGTAGTAAAACACCTTCTTCTAAGCCATAAGACCAAGTCATGATGACTAAATAAGACTTGAAATATTCAGAGTCCCTCTGGTGATACAATTTAGCAGAAATAGTCTTTTGAAATAGCTAAGCTGAATTTGGCCAGTGTCTCTATTTTAGCTATAATGGGAAGGACTGAAAATACTGAATGAGGAAGTTGGTGATTAGTTATTGCCTTGTAAACTTAACTTTTTTATAGTTCATTGATAAAAGCATGATCATCTTTAGAAAAATGAATTTGAACTTGTAACTTTACTTTTTATAGTATCTGTATATGGTGAGCATAATCATTCTCTTGGTTGGAAAATAGTTATGACAAATGATATCTTACTGAACATAACAGATACTGGAAGCTAATGGTATAGAGACTACTCTCAGTTGGAAAGGTAGTCTAAAGAAGAAGAAGGGCTTCCTTGCCCAAGCTTGTAGCAATGCAACTAAGTTGTGATTTTTTTTAAAGATATTAAAAGTTAAATGCAAGCTTTATTTTAAACTTAATATCTTCACCTAACTAAGTTTAAGAATCAGACCACTAGAGTAAGCTTCTCAGTTCTGCCACTTAATAGTTCTGTAACTTTGGGCAAGTCACTCAAGTTCTCTGATTGCGTTTCTTTTGTAAACTGGAGATAATATGCTTGCCTTTTGTATTACTTTGGGCCATTAAGGATCAAATGAGAGGATAAATGAAATATTATTTTATAAACCATAAATCAGTATATTATATGTTTTTAGAAAGTCAGCTTCATTCTTCCGCTCATTTATTCATTCCACTCATTTATTCATTCATTCAGTCAGCGTTTAATAAGGGCCTACCATGTATCATGAATTCTGGAGAAGTGGCTAAGACGTGGCTATCATCTCTCGGAATCTTTGTAAAGAAGACACATAAAAATCATGATTATAAGTAGTATATTGTATTAAAATCCATGCTCAAAGTTAAGTTTTGGGGAGCTCCTAGGTAGACTCTAACTTGACTAAGAATGGAGGAGTTAGATGAGAAACACTTCTTGGACCAAAGTGCCTCTGAACTGGACTCTGAAGGAGGCATATGAATCAGCTAAATGAAGCAGGGACAGGGATGGATTATATGCAGAAGAAACAACATGTACATCTTCCTGTCTTGAACAGGCGTTTCAAACCATAAAGTTCAAGGAGTGAGCCAGCCAATAGAATCACTTGATATTTGGCTGTCCTAAGGAGGGTTTTGGTTAGGAGGTATAGAAGAGTGAACTTGTAAACTTTTTGAGGACAGAGAAATCGAGAGATATTTGTTTCCTGGATCGTATCAATCCACTTTGAAGAAGATTGCTTCCTAAGACATTGTGGATCATTTTTGAAACAGCTACATCAAGAGGCTTGTTCTGGTCATCAAAGACTTACTCTGGCTCGGCGTTTGTCTTCTACTGTGATAATTTTGGGAGTGGGGTGCAGTGGCTGGCCAATGCCGGGAACTGAATCCTTGACCTTGGTGTTTCAAGGCCGTGCTCTGACAAACTGAGCTAACTGGCCAGTCCCAATAAATATTTTTGACCCTTAAATTTAATATGTTCTAATGACCCATTACAATTATATTTTGAAAATTGTATTAGCCACGATGTCTTTTTTTACCAGAATTTTAAGCTGCCAAACTTAGTCTGATAATTTCTCATTTCCATAGTTTATCCATGCCCACTGTTCAGTGTCAGATTTCGGAAGCCATTGTTTGGAGAGACGGGGCATACCATCATGAATCTTCTTGCAGTAAGTTGGGAATTTTTATTGTCTTTTCCTTACTGGGGTTTGTATGGGAGAAGGAAGAGAAGAATTTTATTATTTTGTTGATAGCTATGCCCCTGCTGCTTCTAGCAGGTGAAGATTTGTGCTGGAGGAAAAGAACAGAACATATATATACTCTTGAAAACATATGGAACTTTGGAGTGAAATAGTACAGGATTCCAGCCCCTGATTATACACTTACTATCTAAGCGACCTTGCAGGATTATTGTGAGGATTAGAGGTAATGTATAAATACAGCACCTAGTATTCTGTCTTGTTTTTATTTTAAGGCTGGCACCTTATGGGTATCCCCTATGTCCATATAGCCTATTATCCAGCCAAAGATTGGTCAGAGGTGGTGCCTAAATACCTCAAGCCAGTAAGGCTTTCACTCTCCACTGGATCTATATATGGACTGGGATTCAAACTTTATTCCTTTCCTGTCTGTGGGCTCTCTCATATCTCCTCTGCGCATGCCCAGGCTCTGACTCTTTTGACCAAGGGCATTGATTAGTTTGGGTCCAGTAAGGTCTCTGTTGTCTCTGTTGCCTCTGTTGCATGTGTGCACAGACTAAGGTCAGTCTTGGATATTTGGAGTCTATGAAGCTCCCTATGGCTGTCTCACCTCCCAGAACTTCCTGTTAGACCTATGACTAGTCTGCATTTACATTATTTGCCCCAAACTGGCTAACAGAGCCTACTAACAGGGCTCCTGGCTTTCTGTTTTTATTATCTACTGAGATTACCACTTTGATAGTACTTTAGATCAAGTAAACTCATTCAAGTAGCAAAGCTTATTGTTTTTACAAACTACCTTGCCCTGGTTGAACTACCTAACTACCTAATGGGGATAGGGGAAACCCCAGGCAAGAGGGCCATAGATTCAACTTAACTGTTCTTACTTGAAGTTCAGTAGTTTTCATGAAAAAACATTTCTCAATGTGTTGTCTTTGTTTGGTCTAATTCCAGAGTACTGAAGTGGTTGTTTTTTAAACCATTTACCCAGCTTTTTAGTTCTTTTTCTGGGGAGTGGATTTGGTGGTTTCCTTACTCTATCATGCTGAAAGTTGTAGTTCCAGTTATCTTTTAAAGAGACTTGAACAATAAGAAAAACTCTTGTAGATTTACCCATGTAGTTGCCATTTCCAGCTGTTCATTCCTTTGTGTAACTCTGTATTGCATTTGGTGTCATTTTCTTTCTGCCTGAATGATCGCCTCTAACATTTCTTGTAGTATAAGTTTGCTGGTGGTGAATTCTTTCAGCTTTTGTATTTTTAACAATATCTTTATATTTGAAACATATATTTATTTGCTGGATGTAGAATTCTAGGGTTGGCAGTTTTGTTCTCTGATTATTTTAAAGATGTTGCTCCATTGTCTTCTGGTTTGCATTGTTTCAGACGAGAAATCCATTTTCCCTCTTGTCTTTGTTTCTCTCTGTATAACATTTTTTTCTTCTCTGGATGCTTAAAAATTTTTTCTTTTTATCATTGGTTTGGAGCAACTTGATTATAATGTACTGTGATGTAGTTTTCTTCATATTTCTTGTGCTTGCAGTTCAGTAAGCTTCTTGGATTTGTGGGTTTATAATTTTCATCAAACATCTTTTCTGTTCACTCCCTTCTCTCCTTCAGGGGCCTGACTTACATATATATTAGTCTGCTTGAAATTGTTTCACAGCTCACTAATGTTCTTTTTATTTCTTTTTCAGTCTTTTTTCTTTCTGTGTTTCATTTAGGATTTTTTTTATTGCTATGCCTTCAAGTTCACTAATCTTTTATTTTGCAATGTTTAAGCTGCCATTAATTCCATCTATATAAAAAAAAGTCTCAGACACTGTAATTTTCATCTCTAGAAGTTTTACATCTTAAATCTTTTATGCCTCTACTTTTTTGAACATCTAGAATATAATTATACTAACTATTATAATGTCCTTGTTTGGTAATTCTAACATTTTGAATCACTTCTGTCTCAGTTTCCATGGGTTGACTTTTTTTTTTTTACTTTGAGTTGTATTTTCCAGATTCTTTGCATGCTTAGAATTTTTTTATTGGATGCCAGACATTGTGATTTTACCTTGCTGGGTGATGGATATTTTTGTGTTCTTGAGCTCTGTTGCAAGTAATGCAGCTAAGTTAAATAGAAACACCCTCCCCTTCCCATCATATTCTACATCTTAGTTAATGGCAATTCCAGTAGCCCTAGCCATAAAATGTAGAGTCATCTTTAACTGTTGTCTTTTATTCACATTTCACATTCAATCCAGTGGCAAATATTGCTTGTTTTCTCTTCAAAATATATCTAGAATTTGACGACTTCTCACCACCTTTTGAACTGTCAACATCCTGGTCTAAGTTATCACTACCTCTTACCTGGATTGTTTTTATTGTGTTTAATTGATCTCTTTTCTTTTGTCCTTGCTTCCTTACCAACTGTTCTTTTCAGAGAAGTTAGATCTGTTGAAACAGGTCAAAAGCCTTCCAGGGTAAAATCAAAAGTCCTTGTGGTGACCTACGAGAATCTATGATGTCTAGCTGTATGCTGTCAATTTGACTTCAACTCCTAGCACTCATTGATTCTGCTTCAGCCACATGGGATATGCTCTGTGTTTGAGGGCAGGGGGAGGTGTGTTTTCCTACAAATATTCACTGAGTGCATAAGATGGTCCAGGCATTAGGGATATAGCGAGAACAAAACAAGTGAGAGTCCCTACCCTCTTGGAGCTTACCTTAGAGGGAGGAGACAGTTAACAAATAAAGATAGAAAATGTTAAGTGGTGGCAAAGCACGGTAAACATTCAAATGTTTGTTTAATGTTTTGTATAAGTGGTATATGAAACTGTTTGGTTTACTTCCTTATAAGAGTTTACAGTGTAACCGGAGTGCTAGAATATGCATAGTGGGGCTTTCATTATGTATTTCCTTATTATTTAAATAAATATGATCTTTCAATATTGACATTCTTTCCATTTGTGTTAACTTTATTACTATAAATCAAATTCTACCATTGATAAGTTCTTTATTCTACTACAATCTGCTTTTGCCCAGGACTTCAGAAATTACCAATACACCTTGCCAGTAGTTCAAGGTTTGGTGGTCGATATGGAAGTTCGGAAAACCAGCATCAAAATTCCCAGCAACAGATACAATGAGGTAAGAAGTACCATGAAGGCATATCTTTCATAGTTGAAAACATGAACAAAGGTGAAAAATACATGATTATATATAAATCTTATTTTTAATTAATGGACAATCAATTCATAATGTTGTATTACATAGTCCAATTTGGGGGACTTTCATTACAGAAAGGCAAGATGCTAAATTTGTGACTTATTTAATCATTAGTTGTGTTATTTGACATTTCAGTGCTATGATAATCAGTGATTTTGATTTAAGTATAAAAGTAGCCTTATATCTATAATATTAGTTGTGGGATTTTTTTTCATATTTCCCTCTTATTATAAATATATATTATTTTTGATTGTCCTTAATGTTTAGCACAGCTCAGTGTAAGTCACAAAATGGCTTTAAACAAGGTTTTGAAAGCAAATGATTGCATTTTGAATTAAGCTAAATGAAATTGTTTATCTATAAACATGTTAATATAATTATATAAACAATCATCTTTGCCTATTCGCATGAGAAGTCTTTCTTGAATTACAAAATTTCTTAAGATAAGTTCTAAAATGTCTAATGGTAACCATTGGGGTTTTAAAGAGAAATTTTATTTTAAAACTTAGTTTGATCTAACAATGGTTAAAATTTTTTGTTTTACTGGACATAGTGGCAACTCCCCATTACTTCTTTCACTATTTCTTACGTTTCTTAGTATGAAATAATTTTCTCCCTGCATTTATTTCCCTTCTTCCTTTCTTTTTTTCCATCTTCATTCAGCCATTTTTTCACTTAATCATTTATACATTCAATAAACATTTTATACTTGGTGTGTACTTAGATGCCTTATTGGACTCACACAAATGTCATTGGGCTCATGAGCTCAGGGCTCAGCATTATTATGAAAATGACCTAGGTGAAGAAAGCCTTCACCCATGACTTTCCATGTGATATTTTTTAGGACATTAAAAAAGAGTAGCTAGAATGTGTGCTTAATTTGGTGGGGGGATATAACTGGCAGTCTTTAGCTGTTAGATAGTCCTACCTTGGAATATCAAAGAGTAATAGACTGTACTAGGTAGAGTCAAATCTTTAACGTGAACTATTTGTATATAATTTGTGCCCTAAAGAGTGTTAAAAGGGGCCGGCCCGGTGGCGCACTGGATAAGTGCGCCGCTTGAGAAGCGCGGCGGCGCTCCCGCCCGAGGGTTCGGATCCCACATACAGACCGGTTCCCGCTCACTGGCTGAGCGAGGCGCGGGAGCAACACCGAGGGTTGCGGTCCCGTGGCTGGTCCCCGGTCCGGTGCGGGGGCGACACTGAAGGTTGCGATCCGTTGCCGGACACGGAAAAAGACAAAAAAAAAAAAAAAAAGAGTATTAAAAGAGTCTATGCTTTGAAAACTTGTTTTATTTCTCAAATTTGAAGTTTTATTATCTATTTCACAAACACGTATTAAATTTTTTCTTGTGATATGAAATACAAAGATGAGTAAGAACAGCTGCTGTTTAGTAGTAAAATGATCAGGTGTTATCCCCAGGTGTATAATATGTACATTGCGGGGCCGGCCCGGTGGCGCACTGGATAGTGCGCCGCTTGGGAAGCGCGGCGGCGCTCCCGCCCGAGGGTTCGGATCCCACATACAGACCGGTTCCCGCTCACTGGCTGAGCGAGGCGCGGGAGCAGCACCAAGGGTTGCGATCCCGTTGCCGGTCCCCGGTCCGGTGCGGGGGCAACACTGAGGGTTGCGATCCGTTGCCGGACACGGAAAAAGACAAAAAGACAAAAAAAAAATAATAATAATATGTACATTGCTATCCTTGGTGTTTGTAAGATGATGCTGTGTGTTTAGGAATTGTGTCTGTTTATAAAGTGTATCTGTAAAAGGCCTGAGACCCCCGTGGTTTCCGTACTGACTGAGCACATTTGTGACGATAGCTGCCATTTGTATTATCTGTTTTTATCTGAACTCTGCTGCCTCAGTTTATGGTATGCAGATTCAGAAATCTTTGTTCAGGGCCAGCCCGGTGGCGCACTGCTACAGTGCGCCGCTTGGGAGCGCGGCGGCGCTCCCACCGAGGGTTCGGATCCCACCTACAGACCAGTTCCCGCTCACTGTCTGAACGAGGTGCGGGCGCAGCACCGAGGATTGTGATCCCGTTGCCGGTCCCGGTCCGGTACGGGCGCGACACTGAGGGTTGCGATCCGTTGCCGGACACGAAAAAAGACAAAAAGGGAAAGAAAAAAAAAAAAAAGAAATCTTTGTTAAAAAAGAATAGCTCTTGTCATTTATTAGATTTCATTTTCAGTAAAGTTTACTGATTATCACTTATTTTTCTTACCTAATTTAGCAGACTGACTTTCCTTCTAATTCAATTTTTATTTCAACTCAACATAACTTTATCTCTCACTGTCTTGGACAGTTGAATTGTGTTGTGTCTAATAGTTTCACTTTAGAGTTGAAAAAGTAATTTTCTTATATATTATTTCATTTAATCATCCCGATAATCCACTTTGCATCTCATTTTTCATTTATACCTATCGTGTTTCTTTTTATTGCCTATAGTATGCTCTCTTTCACTTCATGGCTTTTGCACGAGCTGTTCCTTTATTGATGCATACTCCCCCTATTCTTCACCTGCCTAATCCCCACTCATTTTTCAGGTGTCAGCTTAAATGACATTTTTTTTTTTCTTGGCAGCTGGCTGGTGTGGGGATCTGAACCCTTGATCTTAGTGTTCCAGGGCTGCGTTCTAACCTACTGAACCGAGTAGCCAGCCCTTCAATGACATTTTTGGAGACTTTCATTTAACTCCTAACTGGGATAATCCTCCCTGTTATATGCATCTCTGGAATACTACACATACTATTTGTAATACTCAGTACCTTCTTAATTCCTTGTTCAGTGTCTTTTTTCCCTACTAGGCTATTGGTTTTGGTTTGGTTTGCTTTTTAGCAGCTGGCCAGTACAGGGATTGAACCCTGGACCTTGGTGTTATCAGCACCATTCCCTAACTGACTGAGCTAACCATCCAGCCCTGTCTCTACTAGACTATTTAGTTTCATGAGGGACTATGTCTTATTTACCACTGGTATAATTAGCAGATACCCAAGTACAGAGTAGATGTGCAAAAGATATCTGTTGAATGAAGACATGAAACAGAACCAAAAATAAATAAAATATAAGTAAAACAATATGAAAAAAAGTGCTGAAATGTATTGCAAGTTGACTAAAGGTTCAGAGAAAGTAGAGCTCTCATGAGTAGAACAGTTGGGAATATTCCTTAATTTTTTATTGATCCCGAATCCCTAACAGCCAGAGCAGCATGTTGCATGTAGGAGAAGTTTGTAAATGTTCACCGAATAACTAAATGCACATAAGATTTGAAATGGATAGTGAGTGATGTTTAGGCACTAGAAGGAGAAGGGTGGAAAATAACTCAAGTGAAAAGGGGGCTAGATACCAGCCTAAACAAAGGCAGGGAAGCACCAGGAATGAGCATGTTTTGTAGGGAAATGAGAGACAATAAACTGCCTGGTGAAGAAGAGGCTAAAGCTGACCAGTAGGTTAGTGGGAGACCATGTTGTGCAAAGAGATTGCTGGCTTCAAAGGACTTCAATAACCAGGCAAAGGAATTTAGACTTTAATATGGTCATTTGTAAAGAGCTTTTACAGGTTCTTAAGCAAAGAAAGTGACTTAATGAAAGTGGAGTTTTAGAAAACTGAGTTTGGCAGTTATATGGAAAATGTGTGTGTGATGGTGGCGGGGAATATGATTGAAGAAGGCTTTACGCCCAGAAAGCTAGAAGAAGATAGTACTTGTGACAGCATAGAAATTTTAATAAATAAAATAGGCATTTATATAAAATTTCTAATCTCCTTTGTTAAGGCAACTAAAGATTCCTGTTGGTTTAGTTAGCACTACTCATGCTTTCATGAGATTATTATCATTATTGTAATAACTAACATATTGAATTAATAATAAATAAGTATATATTATTTATTATGTACCAGGCACTATTCTAAGCATATATGTATCTTTCTACTAATACTATGAAATGAGTATGGTAAGTACCTTTTTATAGATGGGGAAATTAAGGCACAGAGAAATTAAGTAACTTGCCCATGGTCATATAGCTAGCAAATGGCAGAGCTGGAATCAAATCAGGCAGTCTGATTCCAGTGTCTCTACTCTTAACTACTATGCTGTAGACGTCAGTTTAACAATGATAATCTGGTTTTAGGGCTGATTATTTAAAGTAATTATAACACCTTCTTTTGGAGAGTCTATTGGGCCTATTAGAATTATTTAAGCTCCATCCTAAAAAAGGATCTTTAGTGTGGTCTGTTAAGTTTAGTATGTAGTCAGATCACTGGCGTAGCCAGTATGTCTACTTACATATTGAAGTCTTATGAAACAGTAAAATTAGAATTACCTATGTGGCATTTCCTAATATATGACTATTTTTTAATATATATATCAGAAAAATGATGAGGCATAGTGAAAAAAAAATCAGACTTTGGAATCAAATAGACCTTGGGTTGACTTTTAATTACTAGCTATATCACCTTAGTGAATGAACCTCTCTTCTTAACCTCTCTTCTGGAAAATGAGCATGCCCATCTTATAAGGTTGTTGCAACATTTCAATCAGGTGTGTCAAATAACTAGTGTGGCACCTGGTATACCATAGTTGTTCATAAATGGTATACTATTGTTGCTGTCATTATTATCATTCAGATTAATTATTCATTTGGTTAACTTTTATTGAACTCATGTTACAAACTTCTTATTTTCTTGAGCTTGTAGGATGTATCTAAATTCCCAATATAACTAAATTCCTTTAGAAAGTACTTGGTATCTGGATAAATTGATAGGAGGGCAGCCAGAATGGTGAGGACTCTGGAAATCATTTTAGAAAGAAATTAATGAAGTTAACAGTAGGTATTTAATATGAAGAGAAGACTATAAATGATGGGTACAGCATCTACTGTGAATCTGCATAGGTTCTAGTACACATTCAGACTTACAGGGTTAT